GAAAATTTTTTGACTTTTAATCAAATTCATTTCAATGTCAAATATTGAAATGACTGTCAAAGAAGTTATAATTCAAATGCATTATACTATTAGATTTATTAAAAGTAGAAATTATTTAATTACATTATTTAACGATAATCTGCAAAATCTAAATGCTAATTGTTAATATTTCAAATGTAAATGAATCAAGGATTAATACTAATTATGTGTATTGATTTTTACATTTGAAGGATTATTTCAGGAAAATATTCAAATCTCTTAATATTTTGCTTTAGTAAAAATAAAACGGACAAAATATTTGTACTTTGTATGTAAATGAAATGTTGTTTTTCAAAGATCAACACTAATTATTTGTATTGATTCTTGCATTTGCAGGATTATTTCAGAATAATCTTCAACTTCTCTTAATAGTTTTACTTCACTGTAAATGAAAGAGAGTAAATATGTGTACTCCAAATATAAATTAAATGTTGTTTTTCAAGGATTAACACTAATTATTTGCACAGACTCCTACATTTTCAGGATTATTTCAGGATAATCTTCAAATTCTCTTAATATTTTTATATTTTACTTTAGCGTAAATGAAAGAGACACAATATTTGTATTTTATATGCAAATTAACTGTTGTGTTTCAAGGATTAACACTAATTATTTGTATTGATTCTAGCATTTTCAGGATTATTTCAGAATAATCTTGAAATTCTCTTAATAGTTTTACTTCACTGTAAATTAAATATATGTACCCCAAATGTAAATGAAATGTTGCTTTTCAAGGATTAACACTAATTATTTGTATAGACTCCTGTATTTTCATGATTATTTCAGGATAATCTTCAAAATCTCTTAATATTTTTTTATTTTATAAGAGACAAAATATTTGTACTTCATATGTAAATTAACTGTTGTATTTCAAGGATTAAAACTAATTATTTGTATTAATTATGCAGGATTATTTCAGGATAAACATCAAAATCTCTTAATGCATAAACAAACGTATATATTTGAACAGTTAATTAACTGTTATTCTTGTAGGATTAACAATGAGTATGTGAATATTGATCGTATTGCATTTACAAAAAGGATGATTTGATGTATTTTCTGTTAATTGAACGGTGAAAACTAATCCTGTTTACTTGGTTATCGCTCTAATGAATGTGGGGTGGCCGAATTGACGCCGGAAGTGGGTGAACTTATTTTCCGTTTCCTTCATGCCCGCAACGTCAATAAACACCTACGTCTAAACGGCGCGTTGCACAACCGGCAAATATTTGAACAGTTTTAATTGTCCCTTTAAATATGCCCAAGGAGGAGCGCTATGAATTTCTAAAACATTGAAGAAAATTAATAGTTAACAAAAAAAATTCTTGCATAATTTTTGTTGTCGAATACGTGTTGAGCTTTGCGGCCTCAAAAGACGACCCAAATACACCCTCATCGCGAGGACAATGATGGTAAAGTCGTAAATAACTTTTATGACTTTTGTATATGGATGTGATGAGCAATCTGAATTTCGTGCGAAACGCGTGTACGTTCAAAATTAAATTTCTCTTTTTTTTTGTTGTTGTTCCATTTTCGTTAAGGGCCTTAAGGGCTTGGTTTGCTCCTAATGAGCGGCACGATTTAATTAATTTATGTATCTGATGCAATCCGAACTTAGTGCATGGAACTGGTTACTTTTGGAGTTATTGCTCTATTATAAATATAAAATAAGAAGGGTGAATTCACGCCCTTTTGTTTCTTTTTTTATTTTTTTATTTCGAGCTCATCAATTTCGCTTGGGGTAGAAAACCGGAAATCTGCGGCCCTTTTATTGCGAAAAAGAAAGACTTTTCGCGTCGTCGTAAAACTCATACTTTCATTTCGCTCTTTTCTTCTCCGCTCCTTTTTAATCTTTAACCATAAATATAATGATCAATCCGCGCTGCAACAAGATTTATTATATAACTTTGTTGTTCTACTTTTCATTCAAACTAGTATACATGTTTAATCATTTCAATCCACACTACTTATAACAATTTTATAGACTTAATCTAAAATCACAACTCTTATAAATTATACAAAATATTTTATAACTAATTTGTATCAAAAGAATATTTAAAGTAAATTAAATTGTTTCCTAGATAGATTTGACAAAAATAAAGCAAAAATTTATTAAATTAAAAATATTACATTAATTAATTAATTAAATACACACGACTTATAACAATTTTATAGACTTAATCTAAAATCTCAAATTATATAAAATATTTTACAGTTAATTTTCAATGAAAAAGAACAACAGAAAATGTAAGGTAAGTTAAATAAGTTTCAAACAAATATTTTATATTTATTTACTTTTTATTTTGTCTTATTTACATTTGTTCAAACAGGCCACTAGATCTTATTCAATTTCTTTGTTCATTGTTTTTAATAATTGTAATTGGAAATAAATTGCACGATCTAAATGTTATGCATTTCAAGGTTTTTCCTGATTTGGAAATCATTTTTATTGTATATATTGTACATGTTGTTCATTTTTATTCAATTTTATATATTTATTATTTGGCTATAGATTTTACCCGTAACTACTACTTCAAATACATAAAACACAACAACTAACTATGGGTCAATATGACTAGTTTATTAAATTTAAAAATAATAGTACAATTTATACAGCAAAAACAGATGAATTTAACATCATTTAAAACTGATTTTATTGATCAAAATAGTCAAAATGTTAAAATCATGTACAGTTATCCCCCGACTTACGAACTCCCGGACTTACAAACAAAATTCTAAAACTGTAACTTGTTACAAGGGGTTAAATTAACTGTCCTAACAAAAATTGATAATTTCTTTAATAAAATATTTTGGGAAGATGTACTCATCTGTTTTATTGCAATTGTTTTTGTTCATAATTCGGAGGATACCTGTAATCAAGTTGGATTATGCTAATTAATTCATCATTGAGTAAGTTAATGAAATTAGCCACTAATTAGAAAAACAAACGAAATTATTGTTACGTATTCATTCATAGATATATTGTTTTTTGCATAATGCCTTCACAATTAAATTATTTACTTTTATAAATAAGTACAATATAAGTCATATATTTGGGAATGAACATGTATAGAAAATTGTTCTTGGAAGCAAAGAAAAATGTCTTAATACGTAAAAGTTAGACTCAATCATAAGAATTTTTTTAATAGATAAAATAAGAAAAAAATTGACATTCATTATTGTTAAAAGGTGTAACAATCAAATGAAACATGTAAACAATAAGAAAGCGTAGTAAAATATGAGAATAAATTATATAAAGAATGTGACTTGATATATATAAAGAATAATATTATCTTTTTTTGTTATTTAGAATAACCTATGGTTTTTGTAGCATTTATTATTTTTGTTTTATTAATGTTATTGCTGTGAATTATTATATGTAATTATTGTCAATATTAAAATAATTAACGATGCAATTATAAAATCAATTGATTTATATAACTATTAAAAATGTTCAATAGTCCATTTCCTGCTGTTGTCTTCAATTACTCAATAAATGATAAAATTATAATAGATATTGTAACATGTAATTTTGGCAAAATAATACAGAAATATAATCATGTTTTCAAATTTGATTTATAATATTAATAATCTTTATTGTAACAGTCAAAAACAAAATTAAATCACAACAATAATAATAGTAAAACAAAAGATTAACTGTTTACAAAGGGCTATTGACCATAGGTCTATCTGCCCTTTGATTTGTATTTTATGATTTTCAAATCAAAATAACGAACAATACAGTAATAATAAAATCAACGGTATTTGAATTATCGATTGACAGTATATGTAACCAATGAAAATTTCCATTGATAATTAAAATTGTAATTTCAACTAGTAATATGTAATTGTAGTACTTTGTATATATGTATATATTTACATGTTTTATTCAAACAATAAAAGATTAATTTACTCACATAATTATAATGGAATCTTGCTACTCGATAAATTCAGATTCCATAGAAAATGCATAAAATTTTATTACACAGATATTTAAAATTCGGTTTTCAAACAGCGTTATTTTTAGAAACATCGGTTTACGAACAGCGTTTAGAAATTAATTAAATTTGTCTATTGAAGAAATATTAATAATGATTACATTTTTTTAAATAAATTCTGTTTTGTAACTTCATTTAATAACAATAATTCAATTGCATTACGTTGTACAATGTACATATGATTAAATGTTTTCAAAGAAATTCGGTTTTCGAACTTCATTCACATATATTGGATAACAATAATTCAATTACTTTACGTTCTACTATTTAGATATTCTTGTTGCAATAAATTGTAATGTTAATAATGATTTAATTTTTTTTAAGATATTCGGTTTACGAACATCATTCACATTTACACGTAATTCAATTGCTTTACATTCCACAATTTACATAAATTTTTTGATGTTAATAATGAATTCAGTTTTCAAATATATTCGATTTTCGAATATAATTCACTCAATAATAACCGTATTTCTATTGCTTTACGTTTTGCAATATATTGTAAATATTAATAATGATTTCTGTGTTTAAAGAAATTCTCTTTTCAAGCAGTTTTTAAGAACAATTTATGTTTGATAATCGATGTTAAATAGTAATTCTGTTCTTTCCATACATCGAAATGACACGGAAATAAAATCAACGCGATTCGAGTTATTGGTGGTCAGTTATTACGTGGGTGATGCGACCTAATTCATTAACATTAATAGTAATTTTTCTACTCCACTAATGAGTTTCCTATTTTGTGAAGCATATCCAGGTTGGACCTTATCGCAGGTTGCGGTGGTGAAGGGCGCGGGGCCAACTAGACTCGAAACGGGACCCAAAGGGAGAAAGAATTTTTACTGCGATAGGCCTCACGCGAATGCCGTGACGCGGGGGCGGCAAAAAACGGGGGTTCAGTTTAGGCGCTATCAGAGTGTAGGCGTTGCGACGCTCAGATAGACGCCGGTCGACGCCGACGACGCCGCCGCCGCCACAACACCGAACAGTTATCCTGCGACGTCGCTCGCGCTCGTCCACAACGGAAGCAGACGCGCGCCAAACTCTTCCTGCTAAATGGCAAAGAACTAAATCTCTTCGTCCTCCTCGTCGAATACAGTCGAATCTAATAATAGTAGTGCGTGTCCTGTGTGTTGTCCTTCGTAAAATGATGAACCAATTAATACTAATCTTCGTAACCATTCCACTTTTACGCGGTAAGCGTTTGCCTTTTCTATATATCCTTTCAACATTTCCACCATTTAGATAATAAATGGAGCAAAAAAAGGATATTTATACTGCATTTTTACTATTATTTACAAAAGTTAAGCAACAGACGGGTGATATTTACCAATGCATAACTAGCACACACGTATTTTGCTACATTAAAAAAAATCTTGACACTTAATAACAATTTGAGACAGAAACTTCTTATTAAATTCAGAAACTTGAGCTATTATTACAACTTTCATATTATATATCATAAAATTAATAAAGTACAACACTTTAATAAATAGTTTACTATTTTCAATATTACATTTTAGAGTTAAACAATGAATGGGTGACCACAATTCGTTGTAACAATTCGAATAATAATACAAAAAAACTCATATTTATTCACGATAATTAAATTAAAATACTGCAAAAAAAAATCATCAAAAAACTTTATATTAATTCATCAATTAATTTGGGTATTGTAAAGAAAGATATAATACGTATTTTCATTACCATTTCTTGGAATACTGACAAAACCAAAAATAAAATTACTTAATGGATAAAACGTTAGAAAATTATAATTAACGCTGTTGAATTTTCCTTCATTTTTTTGTTTCCTCTCTCTTCTTTCTTTTTGCTACGTAAATATTTACGTTTTCGTGATTTCTTTCTTTCCTCGCACAACACGACCAATTTCTGCGCAACATCACGCAAAACTCTCTCGTTCTTTCTTTTTCCACCACAAACTACATAATTATTTTATATTTTTTCGCGTGCCGAAATATTTTATTATTTTTTTCTGCTGCAAGCGAAGCCCGCAAATATTTGGATTGAGGCTCCAATAAATGTCGACTTATCGGATATTAACAGTCTACTAAATCAGATAGTCTGGATTATCAGAATTAATCTGGATTATTTAAAAATGTATAATTTTATAAACATTTTTTTTTGTATTGGATATTTATTAACTTCATTTGTATATTTTATATTTAGTTATTGATTTGATTGCATATAATCATTCATTATTGATGGTAACTGTGATTTATGACATAAACTAATTTAATTCATTATTTCGAAAACGAAACAATAAATAAATAATAAATATTTACACCAAATTTAATTTAGATTTTTTTTTACATAATCTAATGGAAAAAATAGATTTTGCAGAAATATAAAGATTTTCAATACAATATTCATTTTTACATCATTTATAGCATAATTTCGAGAATTTTGAAATTAGATTTTTACTTTAATTATTTAAATTTGTAAAAATTTGCTGAACAAAACATTTAATTGAATTAGGAAAATATATTTTTTTTTAAATTGTTACTTTACGAAAATCGGAAGTTTGATTCGTTTTAATGTTCTACTCTGTTACGGGTTTCCTCAACTATTAATATTTTCATTATTGAAATTTATTTTTAGAGTAAGTCAATAGTAAAAGCGAGCATTAAAGATTTGTTTTATTAGTGTCGGCGTAAATAAACTTTGATTTTATGCGCATCTCTCTTTCGTATTTTTAAACAAATTTTCCACATTCAGAAACCTCTATTTCTCTTTCAATTTTTCTCTAATCCATACAACATTTTGATCTTTCTTATCAATACTTACTGCAAGTTTACAAATTAAACATTTCTCTTGAAGAAAAGTTAAGTTCTTATCGATTTTGTTCAATAAAGTTATTAGTTTATATTTAACTAAACTATTTGCTTAAAATGTTTTAATTAAAAAAAATTGTCTATGGATGAAAGTGAAACGTTTGGATATAAAAACAAATGAACTTTATATTCAAGATCAAAGGCGGTGCGCACGTAAATAATTGCTAATACAATTTTCGAGGCGACCTTCGGAGATCAAAAAGTGCAGAATTAATCGTACGTTCACAATGAAAAAAAAATATGGAACGAGTTAATTTTAGCAAAATATCGATTCTACCAAACTGTATTTTTCACACATCATTAAACGCGAATTGCTTAATGAAAACTAGCGTGTTGGGCAGAACAAAAGAACGTCTAATCTCTAATTGCAATGTACGTAAGAGCGAATATGTATGTAAATGTGAATATATACGAGAATATAATTGTTAATGTTAGAATAAAAGAACGTTTAACCCATAAACACAATGTAAGTAAGATCGAATATGTACGTAAGTGTGAATTTGTACAATAATAATAAAAGCAATAATAGTAATTTTTAGCAAAATATCGATTCTACCAAACTGTATTATTCACACATCATTAAACGCGAATTGCTTAATGAAAACTAGCGTTTTGAACAGAACAAAAGAACGTCCATAAAGGCAAAGTACGTAAGAGCGAATATTATTATAAGTGTGAATATATACGAAAATAGTAGAATATAATTGTTAATTTTAGAATAAAAGATCGTGTAATTCAATGTACGTAAATGCGAATATATAAGTAAATATTAATTTGTACGAGAGTAATAAAGAAATAATAGTTATTTTTAGCAAAATATCGATTTTACCAAATTGTATTTTTCACACATGATTAAACGCGAATTGCTTAATAACAACTGGTGTGTTAAACAGATCAAAAGAACGTCCAACCCATAAGCTGAATGTATGTAAGATCGAATATGTACGTAGGTGTGAATTTTTACAATAATAATAAAAGCAATAATAGTAATTTTTAGCAAAATATCGAGTCTACTAAATTGTATTATTCACACATCATTAAACGCTAATTGCTTAATGAAAACTAGCGTTTTGAACAGAACAAAAGAACGTCTTAACCATAAAGGCAAAGTACGTAAGAGCGAATATGATTATAAGTGTGAATATATACGAGAATAGTAGAATATAATTGTTAATTTTAGAATAAAAGGTCGTGTAATTCAATGTACGTAAAAGCGAATATATAAGTAAATGTCCATAATCCATAATTGCAATGTACGTAGGAGCAAATATGTATGTAAATGTCAATATATATGAACATAATAGAATATAATTGTTAATTTTAGAACAAAATAACGTCTAATTCAATGTAGGTAAAAGCGAATATATAAGTAAATGTGAATTTGTACGAGAATAATAGATAATTTTAGCAAAATATCGATTTTACCAAACTGTATTTTTCACACATCATTAAACGCGAATTGCTTAATGAAAACTAGCGTTTTGAACAGAACAAAAGGACGGCTAATCCATGTACGTAAGAGCGAATGTATATGTAAGTGTGAATGTGTGCTAGAGAGAAAACCGGGTTAATTAAGGAAACCCATTAGAACTTCAATGTTGATATAATCAATTATTAAGAAGCGTCTTTGACATACTAAGAAGTCCCGATCCTGTTGAGACAATCAAGGATATTAAGGGCGGAATGCCAAGGAAGGAATAGAGGAAGGAAGTGAGGACTCGAATGGAATGGCGCATATTAAAATGCATTTATCATATTTGCCTTCCGTTTATTAAATCGTCGTTTTGTCGCTTATAAAAAGGAGGAACATAAATTATGGCTCAGGTCCATCCTTACATACATATGACTCTCAATATGTACAGAGTCATAATTTACAATAGTCTATTTAATTTAGAAATTTAAAAATATTTTTTGTAATATTGAAATAATAGGAAGAAACTTATCAAAATAATTATATTGAAGTAAAATATACGCATACAGAGAAAACGTTAATTAACGTTCAATGTAATTGCTTTTCAGGTGGAAAATGTTACACCTACCTGAGTAATTTACGTGTATTACATTTTTACTGCCTTCCCAATGGGACAGAGCGCTATGAGCATGATGCAACATAAAAAGAACTAAACATTTCACATCTCTTCTAAAAACTCATTTTGTTTTTCTTCAATTTCATTGTGTATATATCGTCTTGCAGAACAATAACATTAACAATGTTGGAAGAACACAATTCGCAACTATATTTTTAGACGTTCAAAGACGATTAACGTCTAATTATATAAATTTGGAGCAATGGAAATTGATACTGGTAGCATCAACAATATGCACGATGGTTGGGACCGTTCCAATATCTCTTCTCTTTTCTCTCCTCGCAATCCAATATTTAATATACAAGTGCGCCTGAAAATAGAATGCTAATGCCGATACGCGGAAATATTAATGTTTTTTTTGGTGAAAACTGTTAGTGCGTGTAGGAATAGAAAAACTTCTTTTTTTTTTATTTGATGAAAACGCAGGATTTTTTGAGCCTAAATTCGGAATGAGAGGAAGAAAGAAATAAAGATGGAGTGGAAATAATAAAAAGGTTTTGGATGGAATTCGTGGATCAACAGTTAGTGGTGCTGGGAATTAGCGCGTTCCGAGAGCAATTTTGTGAAATTGCTGCTGCTCTGGCACTTGCATGCATATGCAGATTCTGCTCTGTTTGGAGTACTGGATTATGTACTACTACAGTTTTCGCTTTAATGCCTCAATAGTTTTTTTTTGAGAGAAAAAGCATCATAATAATAACCTTTTGTATTCATAAATACGACAGTTGTAGAGAGTTATTTTTAATGTATATTTTCATTAATTACTTGTTTCAGGTTTTTAAAAGATTTATACTAAAATTAGTAACAAATCAAATTTTATATGGTATAATATAAAATAGCATTTATTAATTGTTTAAATTTTATTACAGATTTGCATTTTTAATAATTTAAACTTTTGCTAAATTGTATTAAAATTAACATACTTTGTTTCTTGTTTAAGTTTTATCATAGATTCTAAATTTATATAATCAAAACTATAAGTTTTATTTAAAATAATAGAAAATTACATCATTTGGTAATTTTTAAGTTTTGCGAAAGATTTGTACTTTAAATAATCAAAACTGTGGCTAAGTTGTATATAATACAATAGAAAATAAGATAGTTTTAAACTTGTTTAAGTATTATCAAAGATTCGAAATTATATAATTAAAATTTTTGCTAACAGTTATTTAAAATAATAGAAAATTATATCACTTATTAATTGTTCAAGTTTAATGAAAGATTTGTACTTTAAATATTTAAAACTGTGGTTAAGAT